TCTCTCATATATATATATATACACACCCCGTAGATGCTGAACGCAAAATACTGAGTAAGAAAACCTCTATCCCAATATCGCCCCTCCATGATACTAGAATAGCCCCAAAATGATGATGCTCGCATATACCCGCCCCCCCCCCTACACACCCACATCCCGGTCTACGTATGTATAAGGCCGATAGATTTCGGGTCCTGGGTCGGAGGAACGGGTTTGTTTTAGTGCTTCTGGTCTAGAGTGGGGCAGAGTTTGTAGTAGAGTGCACGGTTCAGGGTTGTAGGGTTGAGGGTTTCGCAGAATACTTAATCTTTGTTTTCCCTCTTACAGCCTCCATGGTTGTACTAGTAAAGAAATCCGAAACCCTAATTTGAGGGTTAAGGTCTCTTACGAAGCATCTCCACCGCTGCTCGCATGCAGTACTTTTGCCGGTCTGAAGACTACACACAGTGTATTACGCAGCGTGCGAGACCCGGGAATCTTATTCCGAACAGTGGCACCTCTTATCAGCAATCTTCTAATGCCCGAACCGGGGTGGAAAGAACATCCCACATTTCTGTGCAAATCCTTGTTGCGTTGCCGCCAGGGTTGGTGTCCCACTACTTGGACCACATTCAGCCGGTGATCGACGAGCCTTGGCTCTCTCTGGAGCTGGTCTTTAGAGTTGCACGCGGGACCTGGGACTAAAGTTCAGATGGTCTCAGGATCCAGGGTCTGGGGTTTAGGGTCTGGGGTTTAGGGTTTGGGGTTATCCTAGCTCGGCAAGGCCCTCCTCCATAGGCCCTCGTGAACCCGAGGGTAAGGTGAACAACCCGAAACCAGAAGCTGTAGATGCCCATAAACTTTCAAAGGCTAGACAACCTTTCATCGCGGCTGGGCGAGTTGGATCGGTCGCACCCTGGCAGTGTCGGCGGAGAATCGCACACCTTGGATCTTTACGGCTACCAAAGGTGGACGTGGCACTGGCAAGCCTGATCGCCTTTGTGAGTTGCAGCGAGTGGCCAGCTGTCGGCTTGTACACGTAGACGATTCGTCCGACATCATTCCAGGCCGGCACTCAGGAGTGCTTGGACGACATTGGAGCGTAAACGACTCTCGACCGCAGGCAGCGGCTGCCAGAGCCACCAAGGGGGCTCCGCAAAACAGTGCCCTGAACCCTAGGTCGTCCTAACAGCGCGAAATGGCTGATTCTTGTTGCAGGACGGCTTGAGTTTTTTCAAATACCATTTTTGTGGGGAGGCTTCGGGTTAGGGCGAAGTGCTGTTCTGTGGGTAAAGGTAATTAAATCCGCAGCTCTGAAGCCGTGAGTTCGCACGTTCCGGCAGGATCTAAAGGGGTTAGGGCTTCGGGCTTAGGGATACAAAACCCAAAAAGTAATTTAGAGGCTTAAATAACTACAAAGATTGTTCTGGGGCTCCTTACTATAATTATACCACAATACACCCCACAAAGCCCTATTCTAATTATTTAGGCCCCTAGATTATTCTGCCAGATTTTGGCAAAGATATGCATTTTATCAAGGGTTCCAGTGTTTGAATCCTTTCAGGGGTTTGGATGCAATCAGAATGTGCACAGGTCCAAATCCCGAATCCCTACATCCCAAGACCCACTTAGAACACATTTTAAAGAACTGTTATAGAAACCTTTGGAAATCTGCATACGGTTTAGGGCTCAGGGTTTAGGGCCACGGCCAGAGACTCCCTACATAAACCCGTAATTTTGGACGTGGCCACCTTTACTTCGCAAAGCATGATTGGTTCTTTTTATCCATGGCTTCAGGTACGATAGCAAAATTTGAACTTACGCATCTACGAGGTATATAAAGTCCTAGGTTTAGGGTTAAGGAGTGGGAAACCTGAACAACCGTAAACCCTAAACCCTGAACCCTAAACCCCCAAACCCTGAAAAACCCTGCACCATAAACCCCTACACCCTAAACCCCAAACCGCTAAACCCTAAACCCCTAAACCCCCACACCCCTAAACCCTAAACCCTAAAGCCCAACCCCTAACCCCCCAAACCCCGAAACCCTCTAAACCCTAAACCCCAAAACCCCTACACCCCAAAACCCCTAAACCCCTAAACCCCCCTAAGCCCTAAACCCCCTAAACCCCAAAACCCCTACACCCCCAAACCCCTACACCCCAAAACCCCAAAACCCCTAAACCCCCCTAAATTTCTAAACCCCTAAACCCCCCTAATAAACCCCCAAACCCCAAAAACACCCGAAACTCCTAAACCCCTAAACCACCCCAGGAAATGGCAGCAGGAGACTGCTACCTGCTTCCTGACACAAGCGGGTGCAGTTTGGAGTCTTACAAGGGACTTAGTAGCTGAGTGAGTACACTTTACACTTTTTGGGAATATATGACCCCTTATAGAACTGAAAGTGTACACTTTTTGGGGCTTATGAACTCAGCAACTAAGGGGATTCTCTGAGGGTTTAGGTTTGGGGGGGTTGTTCAAATTCTTCAGTGACAAGAACGGACGGGATTCCTCCAACAAGGGTTTAGGGTTGAGGGGTTTAGGGGTTTAGGGGTTTAGGGGTTTAGGGGTTTAGGGTTTAGGGGTTTCGGGTTTAGGGGTTAGGGTTTGGGTTTAGGATTTAGGGTTTAGGGGTTTAGGGTTTAGGGTTTCTTTAAGGCTTGCTTCAATGGTTACTCTAAGGGTTTAGGGTTTCTTTCAGGCTTACTTCAATGGTTACGCTAAAGGTTTAGGGTTTCTTTAAGGCTTACTTCAAGGGTCTCGGGTTGTTTCAGGGTTACTGTAGGGGCTTTGAGTGTAGCTAAATATCAAGAAGCGAACTTGTTTATTGTTTTTCGTTCTGTGTTCCTTATGTATGTCCTCAAGAGGTAGGTATTTGTTAGTTAGGTGTAGTTTTAGGGTTTGGGGTTTAGTTCTTAGTTGGTGTTTGGGGTGTTGGGCAGTGTTGGGGTCTACTTCCTACGACCTTCGGCGTGGGCTTCATGGGGCTTCTTTGTGTTTCAGGTTTTACCCTCAGCCCTTTTTGAAGGTATAATTTAGGGTTTAGGGTTTAGAGTTTAGGGTTTAGGGTTTAGGGGGTTTTACCCTCAGCCCTATTTGAAGGTATAACTTAAGTTTTGCACAAAACCCTAAACCCTCACGAGACCATGTGTATCACTCGAACATCGTGTCCGAGTGAGCATCTGTCTCTAGTCCAAGACACAGACTCACGGTATAGGGTTTGGGGCTTAGCATGAACGGGGAACTTAGGGACGGCTTCTTAATCTTAAGGGTCGGTGTAATAAGGACCCTGTGACTTAGCGTAAGGGGGCCGAACTAACCCTAGAACCTAAACCCGAAACCCTAAACCCTACGTAGGAGGACCCTATGACTAGGGCTTCTTTCTGAAACCTCCCTGTACTGGGAATTATTGTCCGGTGGCTTTGCATTTACCATAACAAAAAACTGTAGTACAAAACATGTTTTCATCATAATAATAGCGATCTATAGTATATATATATATATATATATATGGCAACAGGGCCTCCTGTGATCCACTAGGCTTTCTTTCAACAACATACATTAGTTTAGGCATTTATACTGTTAGCTAGTTTTGAATATATATTCTTAGCATACCAACCCTTCCAGACGCTCTATACATTCAACACATCTCAGACTCCCCAGGGTGTTGCTTGATTTGTTGCGGCTGAACTGCTTGGAAAGTCCTGAGAAGGCAGCAATGGAATTGAAGCACGAGGACGACCTCTTCGACGGTGTTGCTGAGTTCACGGACGCAGGTTTCTTTCCCGATGCAGTGGGCTGGCCTTACACCTTGCCAGACGGCGTTGTCACCAAACTTCGCTTTCGCCACACTCCAGACGGTCCTCAACCAGAGTGGTCCATGGCAGACAGAGATGTAGAAGTTCCTCCAGAGCTTGAACTACGCCCGGCAGCGCAGCGGCTCACGGAGATCTTTGAGCAGGAGCACCGCGTCCTGGAGTTCTCAGAGAGTGGCAGGCAACTTTTCAAGAGCTACGCATGTTATTTTAATACTGTGGTGGCTCAATCTCGAGAAGATGGTGACGTGGTCAGGGTGCCCAGATGGGCGCGTGTCCGTGAAAACTTGCCATGCTCGCTTCGGCTTCTTATTAGCTGTAAACTAAACTTTTGTGAACTTTTGGTGCTCTTGTAAGGTAGTCGATTCTGAAAGTTTCAACTGTAATTTCCTTGGGTTCTGGGCCAGTGAGGCTTTGGCACTCTGACATTCTGAAGTCGGATGGGTTTGGATTTTAGAAGCAGACGCACGGCTTCAGCAAACTGCTGCTCAAGTTCACGGCCTGATGTCGTCACTACCAAAATGGAGCAACATTGGCCGGCCCGGATACAGAAATATCTGGTCAAAGGGAACCAAAGTTGAGTGGTATTACGGCATCGAGCAAGCACTCGAAGGGTCCCAAGCAACTTTCTTCCGCAAGGACGGCTTGCGTCAAGCTTTTGTCGCTACGTGCGCTGGTACCCGATACAGACATTTCGACCTGATGCTGTTTGAAAGATTAGCAGGGAAATTTTGGTTTCCACGTACACCTGCAGTTCGCACTGCATCACACCCATCCGTTATATATATATACATATATATATATATATATATCACGGTAAAAGCGTGGTGCGGCCAGGTACTGTTCTTCGTAGGCCTGCTGCAAAGACCAAGAAGCCAGTCAAGAAGCCTTCGATGATAAATATCTACTGCAACGGCATCAAGCGATTCTGCATGAGGTAGTTTCGGAAACAATCGTGAGACGCATCCTTTATACCTCAAATTCTGTTAATTTGGATGCGAAAGTGGAATACTGCGCACTCCCTAAGATGTTAGCTGTTAGCGTGATTTAATGCGATTGATTCGTTGGCAACGACCTCATCGATAGTGTTGCTTTGGAAACAGGTTTCTTTCTTGATGCAGTGAGTTAGCCTTACACCTTGCCAGACAACGATTATTTGAACCAAGGCTCTGTGGATCATAGAGGGCTCTGTTGGCTTTTGTATATATATATATATATATGTATGGTTTCATCGTTATGGTAACTTGAAATAAGTACATGTTATTCCTTCCCGAGAATGCAGCTTTTTCAATCCCTAACCCCTGCACCCTTAAACCCCAAACGCACGACCCGAAACCCTGAACCATAAACTCTAGACCCCAAAAGCAGCTTCTGATGATTTGGTGAGGTTCAGCCTCTGAGCTTTCAAAGTGAAGCAGGTACGTACACAATGTAGACGCCCATATAATTTCCCTCATGAAAACCTTACTCTATTAGTTTATGCACCCTGTTCAAGGTTTAGGGTCTATGGGTTTAGGGTTCAGGGGCCCTAAACCTTTTACTTGGAGGTTCATGGGCAGTTATAAGTGAGGTTATAAGTAGGGTAACTGTACTTATAAGCCATATTAGGGGAATTTATAACCCGATTTGGAACTACCCATGAACCTCCAAGTACTCTATTAACTTATGAAGGCCCTCCACTTTGAAATTTGAACATGCCGAGGTTTCATCTCTCGAAGCTTTTGGACCTAGTCTTGACAGTTGAAGGTTAGGGTTTAGGGTTCAGGGTTTGGGATTTAGGGCTTAAGGGTTTAGGATTTAATGTTTAAGGGTTTAGGGTTTAGGGTTGGTTGAGTCTGCCGAGCTTCCAGGCTTTGGGCAGGGTTTGGGGGTGATTGGTTTGGTTTGCTGTTGTTGCAAAGTCTGATGCTTTATCTTGCAGGGTTTCGGCATTCTCCAAACATCTCTAAACCCTGAGCCCTAAACCCAGAACCCAGAGCCCCATGCCCTAAGCCTAAGCCCTAAACCCTAAGCCCGGAACCCTAAACCCTGAACCCGGA